TTTTGCATGTGATACACTTTTCTTGGTTTGAGCTCATTTTCTTATTAATAGTCAAGGTTATGAGTTGTGTTTATCATAAAAAAGAATAAAATCATTTTTAAAATACACAAACCAGGATACTTTAAACCTGTCATAGAGTCTGTCCCCTTATTTTCAGTGAAATAGCTAGCACAACTTTTATTGATATTCTTTGGAATTTTTTCTGTCTAAATTAAATGTGGAAAAGCAGCACTCAACTGGTTTCCTTCTGGTCTACATTGCATTTTTACATCTGTCTTTTAAAAATGAAAATAGTGGGCTGAGGCTTTAGCTCAGCGGCACAAGCCCCTGCCTGGCAAGCACAAGGTCATGAGTTCAGTCCCTGGTACAAGTAAACAAACAAACAAACAAATAGAATGAAACAGCAGGATTTCTGGGGAAAGGGTAGAAACTATTATCTGTGTCTCAAAGGAAAAAACAATTTTCCCAAGGCAAATGAAAATCTACACATGGAAATGGTATTTTCTTCTGTTTTTTTTTTAAACATAAAATTTCATAATACATTTTGTGTTCTTTCTTTTTGGAATATGCATCTATCATACTTTTTTCTGACTTACTCATTTATTTTGAAATGGCTTGTCTTTTCCTAGGTAGGATGTGAGATTAGCGTATGTAGGTGAGAATTTGTGAATACAACATTGGGTGTGTCCTAAGTGAGTACAAAACAGAGAAGCCACGCCTAAAACTTTACGTTTGAACCTGCCCCCTTCTCTTCTGTGCTGCATCTTCACTTTCCTTCTTAACCGTGTTGTGCCTGTTCATCTTTCTAGCCTGACCACTGAGACCTGCAATCTTTTAACAAGCTGTGGTTATAAACTACTTAAATCTTAATGTTAACTCCCTGGATTTCATTTCTTCACTTTTTTTTTTTTTCTTTTGAAAGACCAACATTTAGTTACTTAAGATTCTAAAGGAGCATTTGCAGGAGGTAATAGTAGCAAACAAGACCATATTGAGCCATTAGTGATCCCACTCAATTGTTAATGGCAAACTGGGAAAAGATGAGGACCGTGTGGGACCTGAAACAGGGCAACAAATTTAAAAGGAAGCAGAAAAAGTCTTTAAATCTCATATTATTATGGGTGGGCATCTAGGCTTCCAAGTAGAATGTTAACATTTAGAGAATCTCAATGCAAGTATGTGGAATTTCAAGGTTCTTTTGTATACATATGTTAGCAGGTTTGAATTATTTTTCACAATGAATTGTTACCAAAAAGAGCCTCAAACTACCAGCGATTTTTTTCCACATTAAAGGACAGAATCCTTCGGTATTAGTGTCCTCCTTTCTTTTTCCCCTCTTCCTTGATGCCCAGCATTAACTGTAGTTTAATAAGTTATCACAGAATTTGACAAGCCAGTGACTTGTACCAGCCTGTCTAATAAGGAAAGATCATTCCAGAAACCATCCATGTAGCTTTGTTTATTTGCAGCTCTTCATCACATCTAAAGTTGTCCATTTTATTTTCTTCACATTTGGAGTTTCTTTCCTGTCGAAAGGTCAGATTTGGGTTAATTACCCCAACTACGCAATCTTATATAGAATCTCGTTTCCACTTCTCAAAACTGTTGAGTTATGACCCTCATTAACTGCTGTGCATTTGTGCACTGCCTAATGCTCACATTGTAGGGAAAATTACTTTTTAAAAGTTGTATTAACCATAAGGAATACCCCTGACTCTGACCCAGGGCCTGATGTACAATAAGTACTCTGGGACAATTTTTTGAAAAAGTGATGCATGAATCAAGGACAAATGTTAGTTACTGACCACTCACCAACGATGTAGATGACGGACTTGGTATGAGTTGGCTCATGGAGTTTTACAGCAGCTTCATCTGGGTGTAGCTCTATGTGTGACTCCTCTTTTGCAAATAGGGGAGCCGAAGTTTAGACAGCCGACAGACAGATGGCCAGTTTCAGACTCTAACTGGATGCTTCTCATTTTAAACATCACTCTCATCTGATTTTAGTTACTGTACTTGTGCTTTCAATAATAACATTTCTATCAGCAAATTTTTGGCCTTTTGGGGGAGGTCAGTCTGTAAGAGAATGGAGGGGGGCATGTTAAATTAATCTAATTTTAAGTTAATCTTAATTTTAAATTAATCTTGGCTAGGCAAGGAGGATCTATTTCCTTGTATTGTTTGAATTAAACCTATATTGTTCAGTATGATAGCCATACTAGGCACTCGTGGCTACTTATATTTAGCTGTTAGCTAACCAAAATCAAATTAAATTTAAAATTTAGGTCTTCAGTTCTATTGGCTCTATTTCAAGTGTTCAAGGACTGTTGGGCGCAGGCGCTCAACATACCATACCCCACCCGGGACTAAGGACCACACCAGCTTCCGCAATGCGCTACGTCCCTCTTTAAATTAGCGAACCCGTGCGTACTTCGTGCTCACTCCGTACTCTGTGGCAACTCCTGATTGGCCACAGCTGGATATAGTAGCCAGAGCCTGCGTCCCATTCCCGCCCTGCTTCCTCGTGGCAGCCTGTGATTGGTCACGGCCAAATATATAAACCAGAGCCCGCGTGAATAAAGCAGCAGTTAACTGTCGCCCACAAGAGCGTCTCCTGTTTCATTGGGGCTGCGCCGGTCAAAGGACTACATATAGTCAGTGTCTACTATACTGGACAACACAGAGAGGGAAAAAATTTTCTTACTGCAGGGTTAAAAAGATTCTAGAGATTTTACTGGAACTCCTCTTCTTCCTACTTCCATTCCCCCCCCCCTCCCCGTCCAGGACAGAGGATTAGATCCAGGGCATTCACCCTGAGTTACAGCACTCCTCCTTTGACACAGGATCTCCATAACTTTCCCTAACAATAGCTCCCCTGCCCAAGCATCAAACTTTCAGTCTTCTTGCTTCAGCCTCCCTTCTTGCTTCAATTTCCCAGAGATTGTAGGCATGCGCCACCATGCCTGGACAGAGTTTTTCTTTTCTTTACTTTCTTTCTTTCTTTTTTTTTTCTTTTTTGTACCAGGGATTGAACTCACGACCCTGCGCTTGCAAGGCAGGGGCTTATGCCGCTGAGCTAAATCCCCGGCCCCCAGCGTTTTTTCTTTTGAGAGGTGACTAAACTGAGGAAGTTGAAACTCTTAACAGCAACAGCGACACTAATTAATGCCTATTGTGGAAAATAGCTTCCCGTTACTATAGTTTTCAAGCAGTAGTGTTGGATTTTATTTTATTTTTTGGATTTTATCAACTTGTTTAAAGTTATGTTTTTGCAATTATCTCTTGCTGCCTAACAAACCATGATGATGAAGAAAATATTTGGCACAAATGTAAAATGTTAAGCACTGCTGAACCAAGAAGGCATATTTATAGAGCAGATGACACTGTATGATTAGAAATTATTTATTTTACCTCATTCATCAGTATCTCAGGATTAAAGGCAGAGGAGAAAAATAATGTACTTATAAAGTATAATTTTGTAATGAAGCATTTTAAACACAAAGCATGTACTTCTTAAAAATAGTAGCTGGATATTTTTCACACAAATCCTACACAGGAATTATAAATGGGCCTTTTAATCATCTGATTACTACAGAAATGTTTCTTTAATCCAGTTCATAAATTTGCCTGGACCTTTCTCTTAATATGGTCAGTTGCAGACTCCGGGAAGGACACTGCCTCCTTAGGGTCACATCGCTCATCTGCCACCCAAAGAGGCGAAGCAGCCACTCTGAGATCATCTCGAGTATTTACATCCTGTGATCATAGCCCGTGTCATAGGTTAGAGGCCTGCTTCCTGGAACTTTGGCCATTTTTATCCATTGGAATAGTTGTGGAAATGTAAAGTTGAATGGGAAGATGTACAGAAAAACTGGGTCTATATATAACCTATTTTTTGCCCATGAGCATGAGGTTATTTAGCCCAAGAAAGAGAAGGCCTATGACTTGATTCAGTGCTTGGTTATTAAAAACCATCGTAAGGAGTATTTTTTATCTTCAAAAAGTTGTTATTTTTCAACTAAAAAAATGCTTATCTAATGTCTCTCTTGCTGCTACCCCAGACTCTCTGTAAGGTAATGTATTTTAAATATTTCAACCTCAATGCTGTTAGAGCCAGAATACAGTAAAGTATTCAGCCAATACTTGCTAAATGAATAAACAAAGAAACTTCATCATATCAAAATAATAATTTCTGACAGACATATTAAAAAGTTATATAGCTCAGCATGTATCTATTGTTAGTGTACCATGGATGTCCTTTGTTTTTTCCCGTAGGAAAAGAAGTTAACCAGTTGCTTTGGAGTTTTGCTCCTGGAAGTTTTGTGGTATCTGGAGAATGTCATATATCCCAAACATGCATTTACTACAAGATAGCTATGATGAAAAATAAGCATATACTTTAAATTTTTTTGGTTTGACTTCAGAATATGTTCTATGAATTTTTCAACAAAATTGACTTTCCTGTTTACTTTTAACAAATGATTGGTGTTCTTTGGAAACATTACTTAAATGGGTTTTTGTTTGGATTCCAGAATGGCCTGAGAAGTATCTTTCTGGAAAATATGTGTGTATGAATATACACAGACACACGCGCGCGCACACACACACACACACACACACACACACACACACACGGCCTTTGTGTGATGTGTTAGATGCTATTTGCCTATTTTGAGTATGTGATAAATGAAGTTTTAGAAATATACTATGTTGGACCTTAGAAATGCTATATTGTGCTTTACCTCACCTTGTCTTTCTACAGTGTGATTTCTTAAGGTTTAACTTTTATCTTGGTCAGTCTTTATATCTAAAAATATGTTTGACACACAGTGGGCACTCAGTAAGTACCATCTTTGAAAAGCAAGTACTTCTCAATAAGAGGCCTTTTAGGGCCTAATCTTATTTGTAGGTTATTTACTTTCTAGGCTAGCTAAAATAGTCTTATTAATTGTCATTAATTGCAAAATTAGATCTCATTTTTGCCACTTTTTTCCCCCTAGGAAGAATCCCCAGCACAAGATAGAATATAGACACAGTGTACTTCAAGGTAAGTAATTTTACCTCAGGGAAACTCTAAAGAAAATCTTTTAATGATTTTCCTGTTAAACCTTGAAACAATTTCCCATTATTATAAAAATTTTCATATCTCTACTTCTTACAGTGGGTTGAATTGCTGATTTTGGTGAGTTTTCTTAGGTTAAAAAAAACTGGGTACCTTTTATACAGCAAATGTGATCCCCAAGCATCATCTAACATCTGTTATCTGTTAGAGTTCTTTTGTTTACTAGTAACTGGACACAAGATTTCAAAGTAGTCTGATGAGAACTCATTTACTTCTGTAACTGAACAGTCCAGAAGTAGGACTGGATTTAAATAAGATTTATTGCTTTGGCTCATTAATGTCAACCATATTCCCAAAACCCCAGTTTCCTACCATCATTCTGTCTTTAGAGAGGTATTGGAAAAAATGAACAACTTTGACCACCATGACTCCTAGGAAAATAGTGAAATTTATTCTTTTTACTAGCTTTGATTGCATGTGCCCTTGAGCTGATCACTACGGCCTTTTTGTGGGATCAAGGCAGGGTCACTTTCATCGCAAAGTACCACAGGGGTCCCTGGTAGAGGCTAAACTTTGGGGAAGGGAGTCCTGATTCTGGACTCTTAACATTTGCCCTTTAAACAACTTCTTTGTAATAGTTGTATAATGCAGAGACCAGGTCAGCAAACAGCATTTCTGCCCCAAAGCGAGAGAATGAAACATAATGCTGTTGCGGCTCTGCTGACTTGCACTTCTGTGTGCCTGCATAAAACTCGCTTGTGATAAAGCAGTCAAACTTAACTTCATAGTAAGGTAATTCCACCTGTTATTCCTCATTGTAACTTCAGTGTTTTAAAACTCCAGACGTAAGTGCACTCCACCCCAGCTAACAGGCTATCGAGGTTATATTTATACCTTCTGAGCTGTTTGTATTGATTAATATTTGTGGTAGATAAGGTAGTTTTTTTCCAGTAATACTATAACAACATTTGACTAAAACTGCATTTTCTTTACAAATTATGGTGTTGTTCCATGAAAGGACATTTGTGAATCTTACAGAAGCCAAACCTAAAAGCTATCTTTATGCATGTATCATAGTTTCTATTCTCTGAATTTTCTTTGACAAATTGCTTGGAATTATCACTGAAGTATCTTGTGAATGAAGACTATACCTTACAGCAGTTCACTTTTTAAGAACATTTTATTTTACCAGAAATTTAGTTTTCCTTTAAAAAAAAGTCTAGCCTTTTTAGATGATAATGTGGCCTTTTCTGCAGCAGTCCACTGTTACCCACGGTTTGCTTTCTATTGTTTAGTTACTGCAGTGAACCTAAGTTTTGAATAACTTTTATTACATTGTATGGTTACAGTCATTTTATTTTACTACTAGTTATTATGGTTAATCTCTTACTGTGCCTAAGTAAGAAGTTAAACTTTATCATATATCAGTGTGTATAGGAAAAAACATGGTGTATGTGGGTTCAGCACTAACTCAAAGGCTCGAGCTCCGTGGGAGCTCTTAAACGTATCTTCTGCAGGGAAGGGAGACCACCGTGTGTACTCTCAGGAGCTGTGATGTACTGGTGTGTTAGAGCATCTCTTCCCCCTCTAACACTTACACATGGAGAGTCTGGAACATTTCAAATATTAAAATAAATGTTAAGACCTTATTATAGTTCCTAATCAGAAATACCTAACAGAATTCTAACATACTTTTCTCATCTCTCAAATGTTTAAAGTCTAGCGTTACCCCAGATTGTAATCTCACGTATGCATTGATTCTTTTCGCCCACATGTTACTTGTTTCCTATGTGAGCAATTTAGTGATATGAGAACTGGCTGGACTATGGTTAGAACCAGCCCTGGCTTTCCCTGACTATGAGATGCTCTGAAATCTTGGCGGCAAAAGAAGGAATACTTTCTGCCAAGGTTTATCCAGGTAGATTTGATGTGGGAACTTTAAGTTGACCTTTAAGGTAGTAGGACTGGGTAGGTTTTGTTTTATTTCTTAAATATTCAGCTTAAGGTGGGATATCATAGCTGCATAACAAAACTAAGATTTAATATAGTACCAATATTAAAATAACCACATTAAATTTACTGTTTAATTTCTACTTTGTAACACTCTGGAAACAACTTTAGGCTATAAATTTTTTCTATCCCTGTAGCAGCTTACATAGTGCACTGTTTTTTAAGTTTGACTGCTGTCATCTGTTAAGTTTCTTGCGTATCTGATTAGTTTAAGATTTCACTAAGTTTCTACATGTTTTCAGATGGCTGCAGTTTGGCACAGTGTATTGAATGCAGCAGTGAACAGTGCCAGGAAAATGTTTTATACTTTCTTAGCTACCTTACCAGTTGACAGCATATCAAATAAATTGTCATCAGTGTTTTAGCTTCTAATTATTGGAATCATTCTTTCTGGCCTCTGTTATTATGTGGTTATATATGCTTCCAGGCAGTTGGTGCCATTCATTGGTGAAAATTTAGAATTTCCTTTGATAACCAGAGTTTGGATAGTTCTGCAGTGCTGTATACACGTGCTCATGTGTACCTCCCCTCGCCCGCAAAAAGTTGAACCATGAGAGCCAGAAACAAAGCTAATACGGAAAGTTAGAGAAACTTGAATTAAATTCTGTAGATTACTACTTATTTGGGGAAGAACTGAATGAGAAAGGAATATCCAAAAGCTTGATGCAATGATGTTTAAAGAACAAATAAACTTTGTGTATAATAAAGTAGTTCAGAGATATACAAAGTGTTTTCTCAAAATATGATTAGTGGCTTAGTGCATTTAAAAATACTCTTTACATATAAAATGAAACATTATCAAAAATATTCTCATAGTATGTAGTAAATTGTATGGGCCAAAATATTTCTTTACTTAATAAAAGTCCTAAGATTTGTGGTAAAGGAAAGGAAAATAAAGGAAAGAATTAAACTCTTAATCTGCCAAGGAGTATTTTCCATCTTAGATTTCAGTATGAGAAAATTATTTCATAAAATCAGATGAAAAGATCTTTTCTCCACGCAGAGCCAGCGTTTCTTTTGCGATAGATCTGGAATGGCATTCTCTTTACTAACTAGCACTGAAAACTCAGTTCTTGTCTGAACTTGCAGGAAAGAATTTGCAGTAAAACTTTTAAGGAAATGGATACTAAAAGCAGAACTGTCATTCTTAAACTACTCTGCTTAAGTAGAAAAGTCAGAATTATGAAGTTATCTGATGCATCCAGTTGATTTCTATCCCCTTGTCTAGTCCTCTTTCTCTTAAATGATGTTATTTTTATGAGAGACTCTTTGCTGAGTAAGAGAGGACAACCAAATGACTAACCTTTACTAGCAGCAAGGAACCTTGCTTGGGAAGAAACAAGGTTACTTCTGATTGTTCGGATACATGCAAATCATTATGTTTCAAACAAACTAGATATAATACAAAAAGGCAATAGGCTTTTAACTTTTAAAATTATATTATTCTGTTTCTTTGCACATTTGTTGGAAGTCACGACTACAAAAACAAGACTACAAAAAAGTGTATTTTTTATGAACATATTAAATAGTTATTGTTAGGTCTTCTATTATTTGCGAATTTCTACTAACTCTTTACTAACTGTTGTTCTCTGAAAATACTGGGGTGTGGACTGGGATTCTTTTATGGTTTACCACCTAAGGGCTGAGTGGTGTGTTTCTCTAACCAAAAAGCTTCCTTGTATCAGAAGCTTTCTTAGAAATTTTTTAACTTATGTTTTATTAGTACAGGCTTATTACAGAATGATCACGTTACTTGTGCGGAGTTGGTACATGTACATAGCACGTTTTAATCCCTTCTCCTGTTTCTTATCTCCCTATCCCTCCATCTCATGGTCATTTTCCCATTTGCAAAAGATCTATCTCCCTATTTCCTGTTATCTTTTATTTTGCTCTTTAGGATTCAACTCCGTGATATTTCAACTTGTGTATCTGATTTATTTCATTTAAAATTATGATCTCAAGGTGCATCCATTTTCTTACAAATGACTCAAATGTATCCTTCTTTAGGGTACAGTATACTCCATTATGTATAAATGATGCATTATCTTTATCATTTCATCTGTGATTGGACACATAGGCCACTTCCAAGATTTAACTGTTGTTTTGCTGTAAACATGGGCATGCATATATCAGTGTAGTATGTTGTCTTTAACTCTTTAAGGAGGATACCTAGAAGGAGCATACCTGGGTTGAATGGATTTTCTAGTTATAGCGTTTTTGAGGAATCTCCACACTGATTTCCATGAGTGGTTGTAATAGTTTGCATTCCCACCAACAATGTCAAAGGGTTCCCTTTTCCTTCAGCCTCCTCAGCATTTGTTATTATTGATTTCTTGATGATGGCCATTTTTCTTCTGGTGCTGATGGAATCTCAGTGTAGTTTTAATTTGCATTTCTGTAATGGTCAGAGATGTTGAACATTTTTTCACACATTACTGGCCCTTTGTATTTCTTTTGAGAAGTGTCCATTTCTGTTGCCCATTTTTTGATTGGGTCTTTCTTCTGGGTAGTCTTAGCTTTTTCAAGTTTTTTATATATTCTAGATATTAGTCCTCTGCTGGGGAATGGCTGGCAAGAGTTTTTCCCTATTCTGTAAGTTGTCTCTTCAGTCTTGATTGTTTTCTTTACAGTGCAGACGCTTAATTTGATACGATTCCATTTGTTTATTCTTGGTATTATTTCTTATGCCATTGAGGCTGTGTTCAGAAAGTCTTTGCCCCCACCTATGTCTTTAAGAGATTTATCCATCTTATCTTTCATCAGATTAAATATTTTTAACACTTACAGCTTCATCCGTTTTGAATTTTTATGTAGCAGGCAGTGCTATTGCAAGTTTTATGCAAGCTGCTCATTCCATCACGTTAAATCTGGATGCCTAGATCCCCTGCTGTGTGCTCCAGCCTGCCCAGCGAGGGGACACATGCACAGAAGTGGTTTTTTCCCTTGTTGCTTTCAGCATTTTCCACATTCCTTTCAGATAAAACATTAATTTTTGTGGTAAAGATAGACATTTTATTTTTAGGTTAGGTTAGTAGTCACACTTATTTCAGAATCCTGCTTTCTGATTTTGAAATCATATAACAATTTAGATCAACAACTTCACTGGATCAGTGTATTTACTAAGTTTTGTTACCCATAATCTCACTTCCAGTGATGAGCAGAAACTATAACATTTCTCTAAAATCATCTTCACAGAACTAGCAATTTAAAAACAATAGGACATGCTCCTGTAGATAGCAATCACAAATATTCAAAATTGTTCATCAAATTCACAAGAGAGCATTAATTAGCTTCCACAAATTAATAATGTTAGCTTTTAAAATTATGTTAAGAAGTATCTTATCTATAGGATATCACTAATAAAAAACAGAGCTGAATTCCAGGGAGCCTTAGATCATTATTTTATTTATTCATTTGAAACTCATTTTTGGGAAGTGAAATTTTTTTTTTTTTGGGAAGTGAAATTTGATGACTAACTATCCTGAGTTCTGTTGCAGATTTTTGTTAGATGCTGAACTTCCTGTTAAAGGAGCATAAATGTATAAGCATAAATATAAAATGTAAATAATAAATGTAAACATTTTTTGAGGAAACAAATGAGATTCTTCTGAAGAGAACCTGCTCAATAAATTGCTAAAGAGGGTCTGAAGTCCCTTCATGTAGCAAGATTTAAATGGAAGCTTCTTATCTTCTGTAATCCATTATATTCATGTGCAGGCCAGTGATCAAAGGTGGAGAGTAAATAAAGAAAGCTTCCGTAAAACAAAATATGCTCCATTTGGAAATGTTTCATTTATTCATCTATTTGTATGTTCAACAAATAAATATAACTGCCTTCCACATGTTAAGCACTGGTGAGGGGCTGCGGGTGCAATAGATGTAAAGCCTTGCCCTTGTAGAATTGTTATACGTGTGGACAGTCTGCATACAAACAATTGCATGATGATAACTGCTAAGAAAAGAAGTAAATCTTTATGAGAACAGAATAGCAAGAGAGTGGAAGGAGGCACCATCCCCCATACGATGGTAAAAGCTGCACTGTCTGGTAGTTTGACATTAGGGGAAAAAATGAAGGAGTGCAAGCCAGGTAATCATCTGAGGGAGAGAATGCCAGGGAGTGGGGGTGGCAGCTTCCAAGTGCAGCAGACAGAGTTGGAAGGGAGAGTAAGTGGAGGGGCATGGAATAAGGTCAGGAAGCTAGCAGTGAGCCAACCGTGGAAGGCTTCGGAAGCCAAAACCTTGAATTAAGGACTTCGGTTTATTTAGAGGGAGGTAGAAAGCTATTGCAGAGTTTTCTGGCTTCTTTGTGGAGAAAAGGCTAGAATGAAAGTAAGGAAACCAATTAGGAGCATCAGGAAGGAGAGGATAGTGTTTGAACCAGAGTGCCACAGTGGATGGGATGAGATGTACTGAGTATACTTCACAACAGAACCAGTAGGCCTCTTGACATATTGGATTTGGGTTTTCAGTAAGAGCACTCAAGATGACCCCAGCCAGAAGGCTGGAAGGTTAGAGCAGTCGGATTGAAGACTGATAGAAGGATGGTCAGATTTGAGTGAAGCAACTCCAGAGTTTTGTTCTGAATTTAGGTTTCAGATGCTGGTTAATCACCAGGTGGAGATAATACATTGGCAGTCAGATAAATGAGTCTGGAATTCAGGGCAGTGGATCGAGGCATATGATGTAAATTTGAGAACTTAGGGTATTAGACTGGATAGTCAGGTCAGGACTGAATCAAGAGAAGAGGTCCCAGCCTGAAACCTGAGCATTCCAAAATTTAGAGACTGTTAAATTAAGGAACACCCAGCAAAGGAGACCAAAAGAGCAACCAATGAAGAGGGAGGAGAACTTAAAGTTGTTTCAGCTTTATATCTACTTTTCATATAAATTCTTTAAGATAATATCGAAACCTAAAAGGGAAAAATTACCGAAGTATCATTAGCACATATCTGATGGTCATGTGCAAGTGTATCTACAACAAAGCACTTACATGAGGTATTTCTAAGAGCAAAACAGACAAGAACAGAGGCTAATGTTTTTCTCTTTTTGCTCACTTCCCCAACTTCCACCTACCCTGGAGTCCTATTTCTTAAATGCATCTTGCTATTTTTTAAATGAGAAATTGAAATTGGCTAGACATAAAACATTTCCTCGAGATGTTTGCTGGAAGGTAAAGAAGGATAAACACATAATGTAACTGATATACTGCTTATATTAAGCTAATAAGAATGATGTGTGTTTTTCTTAAATTTTTTGGTACCTGGAATTGAACTCAGGACCTCATGCTTGTTAGGCAAGTGCAGTGTCACTGAGCTGTATCCCAAGCCCTTCTTATTTAATTATTAAGATAAGCTATCTCAAATCCTCTTTGGAATGAGTAGTGATATATTCTTTATGGTAGAACTTTCTTGAGTTACCATTAGACTTTAACATTTTCAATCTGTATATCTGCTGTTCACAGGGATTGTCCTTTGCCACTAGGACTATCAGGTAAATCTTCCTAGTTGTTTCTAAAATGTTCCATAACATTCTAGAGTTTCTCAGCACCTTACTTTGAACCAGGTCTGCTGCTCACTTTGGAAAGAACATACAACAGAATAGGGTAAGGGATAAATAAATTTAGACATGGAAGCATTTTCTAATATTATTTATATTTATTTTATAAATATGTATGTGTGTGTGTTCTAATGGCTGTTATCTCGGCTTACTGAAACATGCACTATATGAAATCTTAGAGCCATAATATTAACTTTCCCAAGTACTTAATCTTGTATCTTCTTGTGTGATTATAATCCTGACATGTTGAGCCAGATTTTGCCAGATTTGCTATGAAAACAAACCCCAAATTTCCTTACAACCTTACAACAGCAAGTAAGTGTATCTCTCCTTCATGGTACAGCTGTGAGTTGCCCATGGCTCTGCCCCATGTGTATGCTCACCCTAGAATCTGGCTGAAAGATTATGTGGAACATGCTGTTCTTGTGGTAGAGGGAAAATGGCCAAGCAGAACCACAGAGAGATTCAAAGCTTCTACTTAGAAGTGGTGCACACACTTCTGCTCAGGTTCCTTTGGCCAGGTCAGTGTGTGTGTATGTGTGTGTGTGTGTGTGTGTGTGTGTGTGTGTGTGTGTGTGTGTGTAGTGTTATCACAGGAAGGAGCAGTAAGTAACTGTAACAGTGTACTTTCTACCACATAGAAATATAGGATCCATGATTATGATTATGATATTACTAAGGAACCATTATTTTGACTTCTATACGCCATTTTACTCCCAGAACTTCATGATAAGAAAAGTTAGTCCTGTAAATGACATTCCATCACTTTAGTCCTCTTTTAAACAATTTGTAGTATTAGACTACTTATTAATGTCTTGGTTACTTTTCTCTCATTGCTGAGACAAAATACTTGACACCCAAAATTAGGAAAGTTTTATTTAGCTTACCATTTTTGGAGGTTTCAGTCCATACTCAGCTGCCTCCAAGGCAGGGTGGCATGGCTAAGGGGGCAGCTGTTCATGGTGGCCGCAAACTATAAGAGCAAAAGGGCAAAAGAGAAACATACACATCCTTCCTTCCCTTATATTGTATGCCGGCTACCTGCCCCTGGGCGGGTGCAATGCTCACACCACCAATCCCAGCGTAAAACGACAAATAATCACAAATGCTAAACTTAGCAGCCTCCATGACTGCATGAAGCTTTGGGGGGACAGCCAACACAAACCGTAACAGTTGATAAAATTAAATCTTGTTGTAAAAAGACATTTTACAGTCAACATCTCTGATCTGAGGTTGAACTGCAATTGATGTGTGGTGTACCAATATTCTGTTTCTCAGAGAGAAGTGCCACAGATGAAGATGATGATACTGGACAGCCCAGTGAGTATGACCCGAATGACAGCTTTCCAGATGATGAGGAAGAAGAGTATGAGCCCACAGATGAAGATTCTGACTGGGAACCAGAAAAGGAAGACCAAGGACAGGAAGACGTTGAAGAGCTTTTGAAAGAAGCAAAAAAGTTTATGAAAAGAAAGAAGTAACTCTTTTCCTATCTTAGGTTCACATTGACTTTTTCTGTGTGGAAAAATTCAGGAACTAAGTGGTGCTTAAGTGATCTTTTCCCTTCTTTTGATAGTTGTAACTTTTGCTGTTGACTCTTTGTGAATAAAATATTGAAACATCTGTCTTCAGTAAAGCAAGAAGAATTAATTTTGTTGTCCTGCCCTTTCTTGGCCTGTTTAAGGCAAGAAGCAGCAGACAAAGAGGTTAAAGAGTAATAATTGATATTTTTCAGTACTTTGTATATTGGCAATAAAAAATAAAATCCATGAGTTTTGTTGTTTTTTCTTATTCTTCGAAGATTCTATGTTTTATAGAGTACTATGCAAGTATAACTAGGAAAATCACATGAGGGGTGGGGAAGCATGATTATAGTTCTTCAGACAAAACGAGGCTTTGAAAATGACAGCTATTACATATATAATGGCTATTAATTTTTCTAGTACTCTACATGTGAACTTTGTAATTTCATTTACTACTTTTACTCTGCAATTTGGAGAAATTTTTCCCAAATCAATACTGAAAAAAATTCAGCTAAGCTATAGAAATGTTCACCTTACAGGAAATGTTATTTCCTGTTCCATGTTTGTAATTTTCTGTAAATCTGATTTTAAAGGTAGAAAAACTCAAAGAATTTGACAACTTTTTCAAACTAAAAGCTACCCTATTATTTTTACTTTCATTGTGCTCTTTGCAGTAAGAATACAAAAGTGATTTTAACCATAATTTTCTCAAATGACATTATTTATTTTATGCTCAGATGAAAGTAGTGAATTATTTGCCAGGTCTTAAGATTCTGGTTTCTTGGATGAAAAAGTTCTCCAGTTTTATGAGGTGTATCTCTGTATTTCTGTTATTAAGCTACTCCAGGCTTAGTAGTATCATTTTAACTGACTTTAAATTCTTAAAATATAGTTTAGAATTTTAACAATAGTTGGGTGTATATACATAATGCAATGTATTATTGAAATCATAGATCAATACCTTAAATGAACCCTTATTAAACTAATTTTTTTCACTCTAAGAACTTATACTGTGTTAGAACAAAACAGATTTATAATATTATTTTCTTAGTTTTTTAAAATATATCTCCAAGCAATTGAACAGTATTATAACTCACTTAAACTGAAGCAAGGTCAATCAGTATTTCTCTAGAGTCTTACCTATATTCTGACTACTTTGGGAACACATTTTTCCCATCTTTTATATCTTTATAAATAAAGAACATTTATGAATAAAATGTTTGAATTCGTTCTTATTCTACACTAACCAAATCCTTAAAAACTCTTTAATCCATTTCTAGGTGCATACTCGAATTGAAAACATGTCTGCCCAAGAACTATACACAGTGTTCATAAAAGCATTCTTCTTAATAGCTACAAAGTAGAAACACCAAAATATCCATCAGCTGATTAATGAACAATCAAAATGTGGTGTCCCTGTGCAATGAAGTATTATTTGGCTATAAATAGGAATGAAGTACTCGTAGAGGTCTCAAACAGACTAATCAATAGAGACAGAAAGTAATTAGTGCTTTCTAGTGACCTGGGCAGGAAGAATATGAATAATGGATATATGGTTAGTTTTTGCGTGATAAAAATACTCTAAAATTAGAGGTGATAGCACAACTCTGTCAATGTAAAGAAACCAATGGACTGTACAGTTCTAAAGGGTAAATTTCATGATATAATTGACATTAAAGAAAATGTAAAAAGCAACACTTGTATTTTAAGATTAAAGCATTTAACATCATGATATTCTGAATAATAACAGTAATGAAGAGCTGATAATAGCTGGCTTTTAAGGATAGTTTGACACAACTTTTATAAACAGCCTGAGACATTTTTTGAGTAAAACGAGTGTTTAAAAGTGCACCTTGACTGTAGTATAATGAAAAATTGCCACTTACAACTTGACTGTGTTTAAATCTGTGATGATGACACTGGGCTGTCAGTGGTGTCAGGAGCAATATTAACCAAACTTGATTGTTGAATTAATTGCTGGAGACCCAAACAGTAACTGAGAACCAGTTCTCATCATGATGTTCATGGGACTTGGTCTGTATCCCACTCTCCTTTGTCACAGTAAAGATCATCACATACTTAACGTCCATATTTTTTCACTCGTGTGCTTAATTCTAAATGCAAATATTTTTGGTCAACTTTTTGAGAGGAAGAGGATTTTCTACAACCCTGGGAAGCTAGAAACATGCAAATCTTTTTTCTGGAACCCTTGAACATTGATTCTGCTTTTATTGCCACTTGAATATGACCTTGTTGATAGCGAGTTTTGTTTCTGGAATTAGAAGACACTTGTAAACATTCATTGTGATGAAAGAAAATAGGTTCTTTAACCACTGTAAAAGAAGCATAATTCTTCTAAAGCCAAGAAAAAATATATAGGGACCTTTTTTTTTGCAACTAAACTGGCAAAGTTCAGTGACAACAGCCTATCCTGTGAAAGGGAAACTACACACCTGCCTGCTGCATGGAGCCCTACCTGGTGAAATACCGCGTTCCCATAGTTCTCTAGAGTCTGTGATGGTGCGCACATGTGATCTTATGCTGGAAGTCTGCAAAACCTGCCAAGTTGCATTCTACGAAGCATCTGGAAAAAAGTGATAAGTAATAATTATGGCGGATGTCATTATCTTCCGTCCTAATATGTATAATAAAGTTTATTGTCATAGCTACATCTGTTGTGTTCTAGACCCTGTTGCAGGTTCTGACATTTCAGAGAAGAACAAACTGTTTTCAATGTGTTTACAATCTATTTGGAACAGTAAGATATCTATCCACTTCAAGAATTTGTCCAAATGTCTAAGGCCCCCCCTAGACCACTCTAACATTTCAGCGTCCTCCACATCCTGCTCCAACACTTTTGAACCCCCATCTCAAGCTCTATTTTGCCCATAAGACTTCATAATGGGGGCTGGGGATTTAGCTCAGCGGCATAAGCACCTGCCTTGCAAGCAGGCAGTCATGAGTTTGATCCCTAGTACCGATAAAAATGAAAAAGACAAAAAAAAAAAAGACTTCATAATGTACTGTGTAATTTATCCGTATTTGTCTTTCTCACTCCATTGGAATGTAGGCTCCCTCAGAACAGAGATTTTTGTCCCCTTCTTTTACTGGTCATCCCTAGTGCAAGGAACAAGTTCATGGAATATAACTGGTACTGTGCGATGTTTGTTGAACGGGTATGTGACTGTTTAGACATCAAGGAGGGTAGCATGTGAAGACAGCTTGTCTGCTGAGTTTTCAGGAAGAAATGGAGAAAGAAAAAGGTATTGTCATCACTAGAGAAATTCAGAGCTGAATAGAAATATGAAAATGTAGAGGATTGTTTTGTGTTGTGAGAACGTAGGACATGTTTTATTGGCAAGAAGTTGTAATCTCTAGAGAAAGATTCAGATTGTGAAAGTTAAAGTATGGACATCTGTACTTCTGTTAACATTTCATAACAAAATTTATTAAAACAGCAACTTTGCCATAGATCAGAATCCTTTGTTAAATTCTTGTTTTAAAAAAAGAATGTAGGGGCTCTATCACTGAATAGTGGGTTAGAATCTCTCCAGTCACCAGTATGAATGTTAAAAAACCAAATAGACCTTCATGTTCTGTACTTGCTGGCATCAAGAAGGCGCGCACTGGAGACCAGGCTGTATGAGCCACTTTCACGAATCACTAATGAGCAGCTCGGTGCAGCTCCATAGAACAGGGTCAAGCACATTTGGAAACGGCTCAAAAGAAAACCATTTCAAGTTTGGGGATTGGTCTATGAGACTTTAATTTTTCTTGATGCATCAGAGATGGAAATCCATGAGTCAAAGTAGCCCATACTCTGAAACCAGATATACATTAAATATACATTCAGCCAATGTTATTTAAGAGATTTTAAACTCCATTAGGTGTGAACTTATCTGATGAGTTTAGCAGCTCACACTGGCAGCAGCTTCACCACAGAGAACTTCCTTGATGTGCCATGAGTGTCAGGTCTGTGCCGCCCACAGTGAAGGTCTCCTGCAGGGCAATAAAACTAGACACGAACAGCGGAAAGACAGGAAAAACGAACCCCTTGAAATTTCGGTCTATCCTGAATAGATTAAAACCATCCTTTTGCTCCCTATGGAAGCAGAGACTTGAATGGTGGTTACCAGGGACCCCAGCGGAGGATGGAGCTGAGAAAAAATTGAAAGGATACAAAGTTTCAGTTCAAGAAGAGGAATAGGAGAGATTTATTGTGCAACATGGTGACCATGTAGTGGGGACCCCTACAGTGGGTTCCAGTCTCCTGCTTTGATTACCACAGGAGGAAGAAAGAGAGAAGGCGATGAAATAGGGGTGCGGGCAGGGTTCTGGGGTGACCAGCTGTTCTTGGGAATGAAAGGCCAAGAGCAACTCAGAACCTTGGTACTTATTCACTACGTCTGAGTCAAGGACAGTGACTGAAGGGCTGTGGGTATTTCCAGGAACTGTAATGGTGACCAGAGTGGGCTGGAAAGAACCACAAAGCGTTCTTGTAAGGACAAGGACATGAGCAAACTAGTTTCGCTACATACTTATGGTCTCTCATCTTGCCCTTCGAGGGCCACAGCAGTCATTAGCCCTGGGGCTTCCAGCTGTGACCAGAAAAGGGCAGGGAGTCCCCATGTTCCAATCTGGCCCAAGAGCTGCACAAGAATGAGATGGAGATCCCCTAGACTCGATTTAGAATTCCTGGTCTCCAACAGGTGAGTAGCTAATAACTGTGTATTGTATTCTTGCAAATGGCTAAGATAGACCTTAGTGTTCCCATCACAAAAAATCAGGTATTATGTGGGACAATAAATATTAGTTCAATTTAGCCATTCCACAATGCATGTTTCAAAACATCACGTTGTATGGGATAAATAAATAATTTAAAATTTTTCTAGTAGAAAAAGATCGGTTGGAAATTGAAAACTATTTAGAAATAAACTAGATCACAGAAGCACTAGTATATGCTCATCAACAGATAAATGGACAAAGGACATGTAATATAGGAGAGGACTATTCAGCCACCAAGAAGGATCAGTTTAGTCATTTGTAGGAAAATGGATGGATCTTAAATCCATAGCACCAAGTGAAATAAAGCAGACACAGGTTAAATGTCACATGGTTTTTCTAATATGAGAAACCTAAAATGTAAATAAATTATTTACTTGTCTTTTTGAGACAGGGTCTCGCTATGCAGTTCAGGCTGAACTTCAGCTCACTTTGTAGCCCAGGCTGGTCTTGAACTGGCAGTG